GTCCAAGTGAGATAAAATCACTCAAGCATTGAATGCTACTCAAACACTCAGAAATTTGACATAAACTTTAATTTCCTTTTAATGATGCTCATTAGCGATTCATCGAGCTTGGGTTCACAAGTAACTGCGTACATATGTATGAACTTCTCCATTACATATTTCTCTGGTAGTGTGTGTGTATTGAGCGTTGAGCTTAAATAAGCTTCGTACCTCAAAGGCATTAAATTCACAGCTTCTTTACGTACACATCTGCAACAAAGGAGTTCTTGCGCTAAAATATTAACCTTGTGTGCACCTTGTTTTCATATTTACTTAAATACATATACAAAGTATTTTCAGCACCGAACTAACTACCTACATACTTACAACATGTAAATCTATGCTTGTTTGCATGCTGAAACAAATCCTTACTCAACGGCGCTATTCATGCGTGAGTGCCGCCCTAACTTTCATAATTCCCTGCGAAATTTTAATAATGATTTCAGAAAATTAACAAACCTTAACAAAGTAAGTTAAGTATAAAAGCCATGCACATACAAAATTATTTGTTGAAAGCTTACATATGTACGTACAATAATTACTCTCAATAGATGCTAAGCTTCAATAAATTCACCTTCTAATATTTAGGCTCAGGAAATTTTATGACATGAAACTTATGCCTCCTTTGTTAAATAAGCATACTGAGACAAGTTCAGATACACTATATATGGTAAATATGTATTTACATATACATATGTACAACGTGACGCGCACATAATTTTTGCCGAGACCATTTTCATAAATTAAGCCAGACAATTGTCATCATCTTTCATTGCTACTCGTTCTACTTCATAAATATCTTTATGATTCTGTGTTGCTACGTACGCACATATTTATATATACTTATATGTATATATTAACCTTTATGCAAAAATATCTTATGTCTTCTGTTTGCAATAAGTTCATTTTATTCACGCTTCGTTTGCTTTTAATGCGCTTTCCGAACTTAGGGCAATCTTATATGGACACGCTTTTTAGTTGCTTCTCTAAGTACCTCATTCGGAACATCTGCTATTCTCTTAGCTGTTAGCAATTTCTTTTTCGTACAGTGGGACTCTTGGGTCGCCAAAGAGCTTTTGACGAGTTATTCCATATCGCAATATGGCCGCAAAAATGGTAACCATATTGGATGGGCGCCTAATAAAAACTAGCTTTGGCGTTACGCATTCAAGCAGCGGTTAAGGATCTTCAGACGAGAACGTCTAACTTAAAAAGTGTTTAGGAATGTTAAAGTTTCTTATAATCTCGAAGGCGATAAATCGTCCATTTATACTGGGTCCCGGTTTATATTGATGTTTCACCAAATAAAGAAGCGAACTAGTATACGATGAAAAGGACAGGACGTGTGGCTTCGATTATAAACTTAAAAAAAAAGTAAGCGCGCCAGGGCCACACTGGAGAAGTGAAACTTACGTTACATATCTAGTTTGTCTCATTTATAGATAGTATAAAGGAATGTCGAGATTCATTGTACGCGGTAATCTCGAAAACTATCGAACGGATTTTGGCGGGATTTTCTCTAATATATTCGGTATTTCTGTATTGAAAATTACTATATTCAATTCGAATAAGCGTAGACGTCAGTTCTGCACCGTCACTGTCAAATTAAAAGACTTAGCCTCTGGATGTGTAACAATGTTCATATTATTTTTCTGAGTAGGGTTGCCACCTGTTTAAAAACAATAAGATCTTCAGCTAACACGAATCGGGGTAGATATAGATAAATGTATACACATAAATAAACAGAATGAAAAGAGAAATCGATTAAGCCATGTCTGTCCGTCCGTCCGTCTGTCCGTCTGTCCGTGTACACGATAACTCACGAGAGCAAATTGAGATATGTCAACAAAATTTAGTAAGTAGGTTTCCCTTTATCCAAGGAAGGTTGGGATTAAAAATAGGCAAAATCGGACTATAACCACGCCCACCTCCTATCTAACAGTATTAATAAAATTAGTAAAAACAACGATATTTCTGAAAATACTGACTCTAAATTGTTGAAACTTGGTACGCGAAGTAGAATTTTGGCACAAAATAAGTCAGTTATGAAATTTTTGGCAAATGGGCGTGGCCCCGCCCTCTTATGATCAAATGCTGTATCTCTGTAGTCCGTCTACCAATCCCCACTAAACTCGGTGCGAACATTACTTAGGGCTTGACTAAGGAACTCGTTGAAAATTTTTGAAATCAGACAAGAACCATGCCCACCTCCCGTGTAGGGGTAATTTACAGAAATACGAAAGCTGCGATAAATTAGTAACTATTTAAGCCAATTTGCTCAAAATCAACATATGAAATGACCTCTAATCAGAAAATGATAATTGTGTATCGATTTCCACCAAACTTGGTCCAGTTATTTTAATTAATCATGCTTATCATGCAGTTTATTGAAAGGTAGAAAAACGATATTTAATATGTGCGCCAGGACTATAATGTTCAGTTTTGCCCGAACTTATACTTCTTTACTTGTTATCTTTATACTCTATCGATAATAAAATCAATAGTAACATCCATCAAAATATCGATAACAAAAGCGATACAAATGTCGATAGCAAAATCGATAACAATATCAACAGGAAAATCGATAACAAAACCTATAAAAAATGTCGATAACAAAATCGTTAAAATATCGATATCGTTAAAAATATCGATTATTATATCGATAACAATAAAGACAACAGGGTGACAGCTGTACGAAGATTTCTGCATTGCGAATACTCTCCGTTCAGCCGTGCCTCCAGAAAAAATGCATACGCCTATAATCCGAAAAGGAGTGATCACGAAGAGTCTTCCAGTCTGATATAAGAGATTCTAACGTTGAGGTCAAGAAGCTCCTTCCTGGCAATAGTTATAAACATCGAAGCATTCTCCCTATTGCAGATAAATATTAGTAAAGTCAAAATGTAACTTGCTGTGAAATCGCATTTGGCTCCACAGCGACGCTGCTCTTTCTTCGTTTAGGTTCCTGAGATAAATCAAAGCCGCTTTCTCCAGCCTGGGTGTAAAATAAAATAACTTTAAGCTCAATTGTAATGTGTAACTGCTTATGCCAGTGAATCTCTTTTAACACTGGGGATAGGGATCCTAAAATAACTCAAAAAACGCCACGACACGTAAACTTAATTTTGGTTTGTAGATTACGGATCTATATACCGTTTTTCTAGATCAGGTAACTTTCCCAAAATATTTTCATTTTAGACTTTAACATGAAAAATTTTACTCATACGCCATGTACGAGTACATAAATATGTACATACATGCATATCTACAAATACGGTCAGGTACGCTATGGCGTATGAGTAACATTATTTCCTCCTCTTTACTACAAAAACTTACACCATTATAGCCGCAAAAAAGACATGGCCGTAGAGGACGGTTTCACCCAATCGCGGGTATGGGGAATGGAACTGTATTATTCTTTTCTTAAGTTTTCTGCTCACCTTCATAATTTTATTTATTTATTTATTTTTTTTAATTTTGCCTCCAATGGAACTTTTTCAAGTTGTATACCCCATTTCATGGTTTCTAACTTTTATCTGGTTGGTTTGTTTTGGCAGAATTTTTTTGGAAAAGATGTTCGAAATGTCTTAAGCCTGAACTGTTGTAAACATACCGGCACCAAGAAAAAGTTCTTGGACACTTTTAGGTGGAAAATCCGCAATTAAATACACAGGCACTCAAAAAAAAAGAAAGTTGTGAAGCTAGAGGAGGACTCCACTATTCTTCGATTTTTGGGGTGCCTAAAAACGAATATGGCCATTAAAGATAATTTATATTAACAAATTTCCCACAACTCCCCCTTCCACCTCCACTGAAGATTATAATTTTATTTTTCATGCAAAGTTGGGTAATCCTGTTTTTTAGGCCGCCGAAAGCGAAAATGACTACAAAAAAAGAATTAAATCCCTCCTTCACTTCCTATAATCCCCTTTCTACACCCTAAGTGTATTTCTATATTTTTTTGGCGCGCTTTAAACCGAATATGACCGTAAAAAATAATGTCCACCCTCTCGATTACGCCATAATGGACTCAAAGCACAAATTTCCAACGATCTATAGTCATTTCTTAGTTTCCCAGTTTGCTAATTAATGGGGTACTGACTAAGTATAGTTACAATTTTGAGCTTTAAGCCCATTAAGGACAATTTTCAAAAAAAAAATAAATAAAAATTGTATGAAGTTGTACAGAAAACTTGCAAAATTAATGATTGCAGTTCATTTCCCCATACCCGAAATAGGGTTAAACCGTCCCTTCTGGCCACATCATGCCATACACAACTTGTTTATGTTTTTACCGATTTTTATCGTTAGTAGCTTGATTTGTTTGCAAAACAACAAGCTATAATACAAAAGATTTGTTATTTTCTAATTTTTTACTTGTTGAAATTGAATAGTTTTTTAATAAAAATTAAAATATCTTAGGAAAATTAACTGATCTGGAAAACCGGTACACACATCCATAATAGCCTATTTCCAGCAAAGGCTTAACTGCAGTTGAGAGCTCAGAGAAGTTCCAATAATTCGGCAAGGCAAGGTTTATTCTTAAGTTTTCCTTTTTTCTCTTTCATTTGCTTGTACTTAATAGGTGGAATTACCCGCCTCAAGCTGGCATCTCCGTTTACCAAATGGCATAGACTGCAGTTAAGGCTTGGTGGAAATCAACTATAATCTACGACCCAATATTAATTTTACGTGTTTCGGATTTTTTTTTTTTGTGTCATTTCAAAACTTTAGATTTTGTCTACAATGTAATTATTTGTTTAGTCTTAATTTCCACTGCAATGCATAGACTGTGGCTATTCACCGATGTTTCTACGGATTCCATAACTGAGCTTATACCTCGAAAGTAAACACATTCACCACTACCCACACTAAAGACCCAATCGAAATCCTTACAATTGTTGCTTCGAACAAATTCCCTCAACGTGCATACATTTATTAATGAATTTCCACCTTTACAGCTTCAACAACTTCAGCACAATGCGGTCTCACATGGTGGCAGCGGCATGGCGACGATACTACCATTGCCTGCTGCTCCTACTACTACACACACAAGCGTTCCTCGTTCCCACCAACGCGCTACCGGCATCCACCAATACGCTTGCGGCACAAAGTGGTGGTGGCGCCGGCGGCGGCGGTGGCTCGAGCTCCAATAGTAATAGCAACAACAACAACAACAACAATAACAGTGGTAGCAATGTAGCAGGTGGCAATAGTAATGTAAATAGTAATAGTAACAACAATAACATTGCCATTGGGATACCCAATGCAGGCATAAATAGCGGCAATAACGCTGCAAACAATGTCAACGTCAGTGGGAGCGGCAGCAGCAGTTCGGCCAACAGCGGCAGCAGCAGCAGCAGCAGCAGCAGTGGTAGTGATATTGATTTGCTCAATATAGGTGGCACAAATGCGGGAGGCATTGGCGGTGTGGCCGGCAGCAACGCTAACAGCAGCAACATTATGGTATTGCCAAGAGAGAAGTTGTACGAGAAGTGCACAGGGCCCGGCGATCCAGGGCCTTGTAAGCAATATATTTATAAATGGCGCTATGAGCCGCTCTCCAACGAATGCACCACCTTCATTTGGGGTGGCTGTGAAGGCAATCCGCAGAATCGTTTCAACACAGAGGCCGAGTGTCTGTATCATTGCATTGGTGGACCGCGTAAGTGGCAAATGTTGAGAACGCTGCTAGCAAATTTTCAGCGTTTTTTCTTTTCATTTCTTGTCTAATTCTTATCTTCTTTTTAGATACGCTGCCACCTTTTTTGCGCTCGACTACCAGTGAGCCCAGCACGACTGAATCAGCGATACAATTGCCCGCAAACACAGCGGGGCCGTTTTATGGCGCTGATGGCTCTGATTCCAACCCTGTGCCATTCGAGCAACGAGGCCCTGAGCTGACATTTGCTGAAACGGGTCAAGAGAAAACATTCGTCTTTGCCAAGAATAACACATTCATCCAAATGGACGGTGATATTATACAAACATTTCAATTAAGGTAAGTTAAATTAGCATTTGCACGAAAACTGTCAAGTTGACTGGCTGCAAGGCTTACGAATTTCTTGCTAGCTGAGAAATGACTGTACAAGATCTTTGTCAATATAGTGAGATTTGTATTGTATTTTTTGTGTAATGCATTTAATTGAGGCGTTCGCATGACCTAGTTCGTTTTTAATAACAGAAACTACGAACAATTCGAAAATATTTTTTTCTTTAAACGTCTTAATGGGTTTGTACTTATGTAGGAAGGTGGGTGCGGCTACAGCTGACAGATGCGGCACACTTAGCCTAACGGGGAAGGCCTTTTGGGACACAATGACTTGAAATTGCATTTTACTCTGCACAGAAGGGAAGAGAAACTGTCGCCTATCTCTCCTTCAGCATCTACCAAATCTTGATGCTGAATATAACCACTCATCTTTAAGCATACAAACTCCGCGACCCTTCACCCTATATATGAAGGCTTTTAATGTAGCCTATCATTTTCATGGTCTTTTCATTTCAAATTTCAAATTGATTTCGGGCAATACCCCACAGTGTGGAAAATTAAGTTTCTTTGTGTCAAATCCTAATGTCTTGAGACGGAGAACAGAAGCGAACAATGTATATGTACCGGTATTTCGAAACTTGAGTGACTGAGAGTTCAGGAAAATTAATCTCGTTACATAAAAAAGATTATATTTTTTCTAATGAAATGAACTTTTGAAAAGGTTTAAATTTATACAGACAGCGTCAAAAATATGTATACGTATATTTTCCATACAAAATTTTTCTTATTTTTTTATATGAAAAAAATAGTTCATTCAACTGCAAGACCACAAGAATTTTTTTTTTCTTCAATACAGAACTCGGAATGATTCAAGAAATACCAATCAATTTTCAACGAAATTCTCAATTTTTCAATTCGATTTCTTAGAAAAATTTTGAGTATGCAGTTTTGAGGTTTTCAATTCGCTAAAAATCACTGTTAATTTTTTATTGTAGAGGGTTTTGCGCATTTTCTTGCATAAAATAATAGTTGTTTTTCCAAATTTTTCTAAGAAATCGAATAGAGAAATTTTAAATTTCGAAGCATTGATCTACGAAGGAATACATACCTGTTTGATTTCTCAAATCGATAACTACGTCATAAAGTATGCATTTTGAAATCGAATATTCATTTCCAGTTGCATTGGTACTATACGCTCCCTACAGCCATGTCCGTCGTATTTCATTTCTTGTAAGCAATTTGCAGCAAGTGGGCTGATAAGTGTGCTATTAAATGATTTTTCGGGTACTGGTATGTATACGAAAACTTAATGAAATTATTTCCTTGTTAATTCGATTGCAAACCTATTCGGCGAAAGCATCAATTATGTGTGCCAATGAATCACTTCTAAGTATTAATAAATGATTTCAATATAAATTTCAGTGAAATTAATTTCAGAAATTCCAAACGAAAATACATACATGCACATATGTACATAAGTTGCTTTAATCAGTCATATAAATATACATACATATTTACATAGCAAATATTATAAATTCTGGCTAACTGCAGGCTGCAACTTCAAATGCCAGGTCAGGCAGCTTTCAAAAGCATTCATAATGAATGAATGATTACAGAATGAATTTCTTGATTGCCTGGCGTACCTACTACATACGAGTATGTACTTTCGGTGGCAGTTGTGCTGCTGGAATTGCTTTTATTGCATAATAATTTACACTTACACATCGCAGCACATTCAAATAAACTAAATATGTATACCTTTTCTATTTACTTGTACGAGAGGCAACAAGCAGGCGGCAATCAACTTACATCTGTTTACACAAGTAATAACAAAACTTGCCTATTTCGATTATTCACCTTTTATTCCAAAACCGGTTTTCGAGTTATTCGCAAAATTGCAATTTGAAAAAAAAACCGGCTGCTGATTTTGAAATTAGGAAAGAAACGGATGAACCGGTTTTATTTTACATATTTTTATACAGTGAAAATGCTTATCTTGGTATGAAGTCTGGACTAAAAAAATACAATAAATCTATTAACAGCTTTTTCTTTATCAAGATTAAAATGAATAAAAATCAGTGAAAAATTCACGTTTGGTCTTTTTTTTAATACTTCATTGCATTTTGCTCACTTTTTTTCGGTTTTGAGAGTACTACACTCTTGCCGCCGTAGCCGAGTGCTAAGAGATGCTTACTGCCACTCGGCGGATCCATCGTTCAATATCTGGATCCAACAACATAAGCACAAGTTTTTTAAAGCAGCTTTCGCCCCTCGGCAGACAATGGCAACCCGCCGAGTGTACTTCTACCATAAAAAAGCAGAACACGAATGCAAAGAGAAGCTAGGCCAAACACGTAGAAAGCATTTAAGCGCCAAGCATTCGTTTATTGGAATCATATATGATATACTGTTCATCCCCAAATAACCTAGGATATTATTTTGAAACTATTTAGGAGCTTCACTTGAACTACAAAACTTCGAAAAACCTAAAAGTTTTATGTTGTAGACAAAGTTTTCAACTTCAATTTATTCAGCGGTCTAGATTTGGATGAAATGAAAAAAAACGATTGATTCTATCAAAAAATCCGGTTTATTCGATATTCGAAAAAAAACAAGATTTCAAAAAAAACCGCCTATAGAATGTCGATATATGGGTATGAATTGAAAGAAGAATTCGAAGCAAAGTTAACTGTACCTTTTGTTTTCAATTATCCTTTTGGAGCATGCCAAAAATCTCCTTCAAAAAAATAGTATCCTTAAAGATTTTGAAGAATCTTAGTTTAATTTAAATTAAGTACAATTATAATTTAAATGCTATGAATAACATATATAAGGATATAAAGGGATACATATTTCAAAAAATAATTTTCAAATTTTTAATAAATACTTCCACATTCGTTCCTTATTCAACCCGAGAGGATATGTCAATAATTGATTTGAATTGAATGTTCATCATACGCCCTGTCAGACCAATTAACAAATGTTCTACAATTGCCAATTTTCAAGACTAGAAGACATATTGCTTTGCTGCCTTGTAATGCGCACTTACAAGCCACTGTAATTTTTAAATTAATTAATTTTTTCGATGTCCTGCAGCCCTATTGAACATTTAAAGATGCAGATTTACTATAAATGCGTTAAAATATGGGAATCATATAGATTTTTTCACATTTCCAAAATTTTCATCGACGATTTGGTAGCCTTAATTCAAATTATCAACTAAATCTTCAACTAAAAGTCGGCACGGCTTATCGGTATCCTACTGCCATAAAGCTTCATATATATGCTATTTAGACTAAAAAGCACAAATGCAGAGGGTATGCATATCGAAATTTGCAGACAAATTTTTTTCCATATTTACTTAGGAAAGTCTTATGTCCATATATGTATGTATGTACATTAGAGTGGTCCAATTTTTGTACGGGGGAAAAAATGTCATCCTAGAAAACGGAGCACCCGCTCAGTTTTTTCCTTTTGATATTTGCAATATCTATACCAACTTTAAATTTTCTACTGTAACCAATACAGGGTGCTCAATGGCATTGAAATGCGCTACTGTATCGTTGTGAAGCTGGCAAAAATATTAGTGAATTTTATAAAAAGCTACTGTTGCCATGACAACTGAAGCTTGTGATATTTTTTGGAAAACTTAAATTTTAAATGTTCTAGGTTGCTTAAGCCATAGTTTGATTAATACAGTACACAGTGCCTCTACAGTAAAATCTAAGCATTGTGAACTTCCTCTAAATTTATACTTAGAAATGTAAAGTTTAGTACCAGCACCTCTTTCGACAAGGGGGAAAAAATTTTTTTGGACCCCTCCAATGTACATACATACACATGTATATGAGCACATCTCACGAGTTGTTACATTTTTGGACAAAAACGTGTTCCACAAAAACAAATTCCAACCGAATCGCGTAAAATTTGGATAAGATCCAACAAAAATTCCAAAATTACTGCAAAATTTAGAAAAACTCATAATATATTTATTGAAAATTTCTGAAAGATTTGAAAAATTTTTCATCTCCCGAAAACTGCAAGCATTAAGGAAAAATTCGATTTCCCGAAAACTCCGAATAATCCCGGAAAAATCCCAAAAATATCCAGAAATATCCAGAAATTTTGGAAAAATCCCGAAATTTCTCGAAAATAGTCCAAAAAATTTAGAAGAACTCGAATACAAGAAAATTCTAGTGAAAAGCCCAACGATAATGACGGCAAATAATCGATAACGAATATTAGTATGACTTCACGAAAAATCTTTTTATTTGTAAAATTTAATCAAAATATATTTTTCTACTTTAAAGCTTCTTGATTGCTCAGCAAGCTCGCAAAATTCTTCTTTAGTTTTATTTTAGGTAAAATAAACTGTTACATTTTTGAAGTTGTTGCCCTTTTTAGCAGATTGTTATTCTAGTAATGGATTTCCTAAATTTGTACTTTCCATTTTTTTTTAATTTTAAATTACTTAATTAAAATTACTTTATTTTCATCTGTCCTTTTCTTTCCACAGACTTTGTCGTGAGATCTCATTTCAATTTCGAACACGTCTACCGCATGGTCTGCTCGTCTATCACAACGTAAAAAATCCTGATCGTATTAATTTGGATCCCTACGCATTGTATGTGATTGTGGAGAAGGGTCAACTANCGAACACGTCTACCGCATGGTCTGCTCGTCTATCACAACGTAAAAAATCCGGATCGTATTAATTTGGATCCCTACGCATTGTATGTGATTGTGGAGAAGGGTCAACTGAAAGTTGTGCATGTTTTCGGAAAGCATTCAACAAGTGTAACCGTAGGCGAAGGACTCAATCGTGATGAATGGCATAGTGTAATGGTAAGAGAGAGTATGGATTCTCAAATTATTTCAAGGTTATTTGTGGGCAATTTGGCATTGTATATACATACATATATATAACTACACATGCATTGAATTTCAAACTCATATCTCAAAAATATTCCACAATAAAGCTTACATTACTCAACTTAGATTGGTACAGATTACTTTTGGAGCATTTTAAGTTATCAACACTCTAGCCCCGCTTTTACATTTTCTCATCTGCACTTCCTAAAATCTCTTTTTTCCTAAACAATTTCCATATACACTTTGCATGTACAGTAAGTTGTATCTCCTCTTCGTCATCAACCACGCTTTCGCCTATCGACAGCGTCTTCACATTCAAATGCTTGCTACTGTCGCTCCACTTGTCAGTCAGTCATACATTTGCATTGATTGTCAAAAGTCTACAAAACGCCAACAATCAGTTATGTCAACCACAACAACTACAACTACCACAAGCACTGCAATAACTACTCATATAGTAAGTATGAGTGCAATACGATTTACGAGTTCAGCTCTCATCAAGCTCTTCTCCGAAGACACTTGAGCAACACTATCTATCGACTGTGGTCATTAATAACGCTGCCGTTGAATGCATTTTCATGATGCGAATGCTTGTGCTTTGGTTTTTTTTCTTCCTTTTCATATTATAGCGCTTAAAGCGCTTTCTTCCCAACTCCTTACTGGCATCCTCTTTGCATGGTGCGGCGTTAGAACAAATACAAATGAATGCAATTTAGAAATTTATTTGCCATTGAAGCGTACCCTATAATTCACACTCGTTGGAACAAAACAAAGGCGTTGCATTGAAAATTCACACATTTCATCTATCTACCCTGCACTCACGACATACAAACTCATACACTCATTTATAATCTATGTATGTATGTATGTGCGCACACACGCATGTGGAATAATGCTCAAAAATCTTCTGCGAAATCATACTTGTCCATAGTTGGTGAGTATAGTCCCCATTTTGCTCACGCTTAACCCTTTCTGTTGTGTTACCTCTTAACCACAAATCAATTTCATTCAGTGTCATTCGATTCGATTTATCTTCAAAATTTCATTTGTATTTGTGTTGCACACCCCACCCCATAGTAGCCACAAGCATTAATAGGTATGTACATACTTGGATAAAAAGCCTCTTAGATGCAGTAAAATTTTAGTAACAGTTGTAGTAGAAGTAGGTAGTTGAGTTCTGTGTTGTTGTGTAGCTTTCAGGTCATTCAGCACACTATGTGACCATGTATGTATGTATGTAATGTGTATTTCTTTGTTTTTCTCTTGCCATCGATCAATGCAGGTACGCATCGATGTCCATGGCGCAAGATTGATTGCACGCGTTGACAACAGTCAAGAGGAAGTTTACTTGAAGGGCTTGAACCATGACACCAACTATGGAGTGTCAACGAATCTGCCGTCGGTGGTGCTGGTCGGAGGTGAGTAGATATTGTCTTATGGTGCGATAGTGGCAAATTATATCGAGCCCCAACCGCCAAAAAGCCGTAAGCGACGTTTATTTCAAAATTTTTCTTTTTTAATCAAATATAAAATTTCGAAACAAATTTCGCTTGCGTCTTTTTGGAGGTTAGGGGTTAGGCGCCTTTTCGATAGGTGTAAAAATCATGAATATTATCTAAAACTAAAGTTTATTGTATTATTACACATAATTTGTAAACGCGACAGTTCAAGCCTGACAGGGCAATTCTGGCTAAGATAGTTGCAACTTGCAAGACAGTTGAATGACACTAGGCAAGATACATAGTTTAAAAGATTTTATTTATTCTAGCACGGAAGTCTAATACCTTATTTCCACCAAAGCCTTAATTGCAGTTAAGAGCGCGGGTTAGTTCCAAGAATCTGGGGTGATCGTCAAAGTTTATTTCTCAATTTTTGCTTTGTTCCCTTCGTTGCGCTTGTACTTAATAGAAGGAATTACCCCTTCGAGTTGTAATCTCCTTCTTCCAACAGGCATAAACTGCATTTAAGACTTGGTGGAAATAAATACGACATAACAAACAAAGCTCCCTTCCCAACTTTCGTGGTGAAGAGCTCTTTGGACAGAAAACACCTGAGCATTTTCCAATTGGGGATGTTTTATCATTGCCCGAGTGAGCAAAGCACTGACATTCGAGAGATCCCTGGTTCGAGTCCTCGGACAGCGGAACTTTTATAATTTGTTAATTTCTTTTTATTTTTAATTTTACTCTGAGTTTTAAATTTTATATTTCGTCTTTATTAATTTTTTAGAAATTTGTTTTATGTATTTTTTTAAATTATTATATTTATTTTTTTTAATTATCTTTCTTTTTCAATTAATTTTTAGAAACTTATAATAAATTTAAACTTTGTTTTAATTAATTTTTCTTTTAATATGTAGAATTTATTTTTTTTTAAAGAGAAATGCATATTTTTTACATTTTCACGAACCTTTTTTTATTTTAGATCTTATTTTTTAGGTACTTACTTTATTTTTTCTTTAATTTTAAATTGTGTTTACGTAAATATATATTAATTTTTAGATATTAATTTTATATTATTATTATTTTGTTTTTATTACATGTTTAGAACGTTCTTTTTTGTTTTTGATTTTATATTTAATTAAGTTCTCTTGAAATTTTTAGATTTTATTTAAGAAAAATGCTTTTTTTAATTTAGTTTAAGTTTTAGGAACTTATTTTATTTTATTTTTTTTATATATAATTTTCTTTTAATTTTTAGATTTTATAGTTTTAATAAGAAAATTTTTTTATTTATAACTTTTTTATTTATTTTTCTAAAATTTCAATAAAATCTTTGTTCCTCTTTAATTCAATTTACTTTTTCTTGTAGTTATTTTTTTTTTCAAACAAAATAGTTTTAATAAAAAATTTTTTTTATTTATAACTTTTTTATTTATTTTTCTATAATTTCAATAAAATTTTTGTTCTTTTTTAATTCAATTTACTTTTTCTTTTACGTATTATTTTTTCAATCAAAATTATTTCATATTTTTTAAGGGAAATCTATTGACTACGTATCGACAATTTCTGCTGCATTGCGATATTTTTAATTAATTAATTAGCACATCAAACATTTTATATGTATTTGTGCTAGTGAAACAAATACATATGTTTGTATGTACATAAATACAATAGTTATATATATTTTCATTCAACTTCTTTGTTTATATTTGTTTATTAAACTAAATTTTCTCTACCTTTTTACTTTTACATGTTAATTAATCTTCATTACGGCGACTAAACAATGAAAAACGCAAACGCAACAACAAAAACAATTGCAACATCAACCAAACAACCGTACATGCTAAACAACATTGGCATAAAATGCTCAAAACTTTATAAATCACCAACAACAACAAAACCAACAAACCGAAAACACAAAAACGTTATAACCTGCTGCGTTTTTTTTTTGTTTTGCCACTATTCCTCCGCTCTTCTGATTGCATGCACACACTGGCGTATACGTAACTTTCACAACTGGCGCTCGCACGCATACCGTCAACGGCAACACACACACATGCATTTTCACATCCATTCCATTCACCAACACTCTGATGCAGGTCTTTCATCCGAGGAGAAACTGCATGGCGTCAAGTATATCATCGAATCATTTGTTGGTTGTATTCGTAATGTTGTTTTGAGTTCGGGCAAAGCGGCATCCGATTTGTTACCCATTACACCGCTGGTGGCCACCAAACATGAGAACGTCAACGAAGGTTGCGCCGACAAATGCTATTCCAGACACAATTTGTGTTTTGTGGGATCCCGTTGCATTAATCACTACTATGACATTTCATGCGATTGCTTTGGCAGCTACTATGAGGGCGAGCATTGCGATATTTACAGTGAGTAACACTTATGTACATACATACATACATACATGCTTCATATTCAGGTCGTAAATAATACATAGTTAAGTAGTTATAGACAACAAAAAAAAAATCCAATTAGAAACAAAAAAAAACACACAACACCCAAAAACCATGAAAACAAACTATCAACAAAAAGTTTCTGGATTTAAAATGGTTTTGCTTTGTTGGTGCACTGGCTGCAGAAATGTAGAATATGTATACATATGCGAATGCCCTGCAGGAAATCCTTTATTGGTTTTTGCTGAACTTGTGAAAAAATCTAGACTTTAACTTAAAGTACTTTATTAGGGACATGATATCGAACCGAAAGTATCGATATGGTACTCGTTTAAAGTATCACTGTAAAAATATCCGGCGCCCATTAATATCGGTATAAAAGACTCGGCATTTCAAATACCGATAACACAATCAAAAAAATTAATCTTAAAATTGGTCTCGTTTTCTAATAAAGTAGCAGTTGTTTTGAATTTTAACTAAATTGGGATATAAATGCGGTTTTTATAGATATTTCGACACCTATCGGACAAGTTTTCAAGCGAAATATATATTTTTACGTGGTTAATACATGTTTGGAATTTGAATCAAATTGAACGATAAATACGGGTTTGGAAATATCTCGATTCCAGCGACACCTATCGGGATTAATTACAACGAAAATATTTCATTTTAAGTAGCTAATACACGCTCTGAATTTGAATGAATCCGGACTGAAAATACGATTTTAGAGATATCTCAACTTCAGCCTTACCTACCGGAAATTTTGTTTTCCCTATGCACAAAAAATCGAATGTGCATTAAAACTTTATTAACCACCTTTCTTTTGATATCCGTATTCTGTTAATTAATTTTTTACTTCATTTATGTATTAAGTGTCGTCTATAGTAGTATAGTAGAAATATTTTTCATTATTTCTGTCGCTAGAAAAAGTACTTTGCGGTTACTGTAAATTTTCTTGCAGAAATAAATACGCTGGCATTTATTCTTCAGAAGATTGTGGGGCTTTAATTCCAAACACCAATGAAACGAAAAAGCGTCTGAAGAGGGGTTGGAGGGTTTGGCCACTATTAAGATTAAGATTAAGGATATGATTAATGTTAAGAATAAAATTAAGATAAAGATTATGATTAAGATTAAGATTGAGATAGACATTAAGAGTGAAATTAAGATTAAGATGAAGACTAAAATTAAGATTAAAATTAAGATTTTGATTAAGATTAAGATTAGTATAAAAATTAACATGAATATTAAGATTAAGATTAATGATAAGATTAAGATTAAGATTAAAACTACGATTATGATGATTATTCAGATTAAGATTATAATAATGATTTCGGAACGAGCATGTCTAATACGATTAGGTGGTTTAAATCATTAACATAATTGTTATAATTACGTCTTAAAAAAACAATCCTCTAAAGTAAGGCGTTGCTGATAATATTTTGCATATGCGAATTGCGTTTTATTTTTTACCTCCAAAACCGTTAGAGAACCCAAAATAAAACTTACAGGACATGTAAAGCACATTTGCGCGAACATTTAGTAAAATTAGAATAAAAATCATAATTAAAATTATAGTTTTTCAAACTTTTGACTGTTTCCTACACCCAGAAAAAGGTTTAGTTATAATAACCAAGATTTGGTTATAGTGATCAAGTGGCATAGTTGGATATGGCGAAATAAATATATAGTTCACGAAAGTCTGCAATTTACTTAAGACTTCTAGTTGGGACAAATGTATATTTGTTAATAATTACAAAACGACTACCTTGATTGGACAATATTGTTAGTTGAATAAAATCATTGTTGAGCAAATATAAACAATGCTTTGGTTGATACAAGTTTTCAATTAATTTTGTGAACTTGCTGTAGACTTGAATCAGCTAACCGTTTATTATTAGGAAAAAAGTTTCAGTTTGACACAAATAAAAATTTACTCGATGTTTGTTGTGTTTACTTTCTTCTTTTATTTGCATATATTAAGCATAAAAATACGTACATATTTACATAAGTTAGTTACTAAAGTAAATAATACATATGTATATGGTGGTAAGAATTTCCTAAAAAACAACGATGAAACAGGAACAGTCGTGCGAAAACCCAGGTCAATATCTGCTGGAAGTATACTGCTTTGCTTTTTCCTTAGCTAAATAGACACTTTCAAATTATAATTCACATGAATTATATATCCACTGAAAAACCCCGGTTGGCATCAAACTTTATATTTTTAATTAAACTTTAAACTATGCGCGCACCGAAACAACTCGCGATGATAGCAAAACTGAAACTGAGACAAACAAGTATGGGCATGTCATAGCACACATGGCGCAGCGATCGACATGCCATAGCTTACTGAGCGCTCTGGGACCACATGCGTGTTTCACCCATATACGAACAGCGGTAGCGGAGCAATGATTTCCACGCACAATGCAATGGTCGGCATACTAGCGCATTCAAACGATTCAATAAGTGGGACTGTGTGCATTGCTCAGCTGGCGCTCTTCGTATGTGCTCAGAGAGCGCTCAGCATTCTTTAGGGGTGGCTCACAAGCATGAATATGTTCCACTCTCAAACCAAATCGTGGTTGCCTCAACTAAGATTTGGTAACTATGACTAAACCACGTGTTGAAAGAAAGCTTATCTGCATTAGCAGAGCTTAATAACATCCTTTTATGAACCATACGTTAAGTTGAATGGAATTTGTAGAAATATGCTTCAAAGAAATATTTATTAGTATTAACCAAACCCTTCAACTAAATTAACGATTTGTTACAACCTAGATGAATATTAGAAGCTTTAATATATTTAGTTATAATTACCAATCGATGGTAATAGTTCCCAATCCTTGGTAACAGTTCCCAAATATTGTCAAAATTCGGGAACTAAATATCTTTAGTTGTCGAAACTAATCCTTTTTCTCAGTGTATTCAATATGTTTTTTTTTTTACCAAATTAGCTTCATATGACCCTGCCGGTCAGAATTTAAGACAAAAAAGGAATTACATACCAGTTAACCAGGTCTAAGTTCGGACGGGCCGAAATTAAATACCTGGCGCAAGTATTAAATATAGTTTTTTCACCTTTCCGAAAACTATAGCTACATGGTAACCAGGGTGGTTTTACGTTCAGAACGTTCAGCTAGACATAATAATCACACAAAATTTGGTACAAATTGGTAGAACGGTTACCGAGATACATATATGTGATCATAAGTGGGCGGTGCCACGCCCATTTTTCAAAATTTTATCATAAACATATTTCTTGGTAAAGAATTGTTGCAAGCATCAATTTTGAATAACTTAGCATTAGTATTTACTGATTCATCGAAGATTTCGTATTTCTCGAAATTACCGTTATATGGGATGTGGGCGTGGTTATTGTCCGATTTTAAAAATTTTCAGCCGTTTGGTATGTGTTACCAAGGTTAACAACTGTGCCAAGTTCAGGAGACACTGGTTTAGCGGTTGCCAAGAAATACACATGTAATCATAAACGGGGGTGGCTACGCCCATTTTCCAAAAATGTATTACTTGTATATTCTTATTTTTCGTCTAAAAATCATTGCGAGTATCAATTTTCAGTGAAAAAGCTTCAGTAATTACTAAAATATGTAAAAAAAAAAAGTTGACCTCGAGATGACCTTGAAATTGGCTCCCACGTTATTTTGCCACTCAGCATTGGAAAGGTTTTTTTAATGAAATTAACATACTTAAAAAAAAGTTTTAAAAAAGTTTAAAATAAAAATCGGCAGAGGGGGGTAACGTTCAGAAAAAATGCCCCATATATAGTTTCTAACTCGCATTCTTATGTCCTTATTCATAAAAAATAAAATAGGATTAAAAAGCTCTATAAAGTGACATTTTCATACAAAATTTCGATTTATAAAGCAGTTAAAGTGTTCTTTATATTTTATGAATTTGTTTATTAAAGTTTAATGGCCCTATTCATAAAAAATAAAATAGGTTTATAGAGCGCTATAAAGTGACATTTTCATACAAATTTTCGATTTGTAAAGCAGTTAAAGTCTTCTTTGTTTTTTATAAATTTGGATATAAATTTATACACGTCTATAGAGGGCTGCATGAATTCATTTAAAATGCCTTATGAATTATTCATATACAAAACGAATGAATGATTTTGCCTTCAAATTCTTTTGAATTTGAGTGAATACCTGTTCTGATACATGTTTCATACATTCACGTTAATAATATCAATTCATATAAACGCGTAACAGCCTCTTAAATGTATAAACCTCTTAAATAAATCGGTTTCCGTACAAAATTAAACAACTTTACGAGGTTTACGTGGATATGAGCTTTTAACGCCTTTAGATGAATTGCCCTGTACATTCATAACTTAGAAAATTCCAAACGCTGAGTGTTTCGTATGTGAAGTAAAATATTCAAATCTACTGTACTCTGTTTGGTTAGAAGTGTGAATGAATTCATGCAGCCCTCTAGTGCGCTAGTGCTCTTCAGAGACGATTTCGTATGGACTATGCCCATGCAGCACTAAATAATCGTTAACTCTACAAAAGAAAAAAGAAAATTAAACTTTAGAATGATGACAACGTTTTCTGAAAAAGTAATTTTCAAAGGAATGTCAAGTAATTGTTAACATTTCAGCAAAATCGAAAAATAAATTTCAGCTCCATAACAAATTTCTGTTCGAGTCTCGAATTTCCCCGTGTAAAATAAATTAAATAACAATTAACGAAATCTTTCCTTCGCATAAATTTCACGGCAGCAACGCAGACAATAATCCATCCAACCAAACAAAAGTAAAAGAAGAGATGGCTAAAAAACGGGGCATCTTTCGCGCTTCTTTCGCTGAACAATTTCTCTACAAGCAACATAGAGATGCACTCAGTAAAATTTCTAGTGCGGTCGATATGGGTCCACCTCTAATCAGAAAGGATGTCTACCTCAATGTACGTGGCATGCGGCGCGATAAATTCGCGCTAAAACGCATCATCAAGGAGAACATAGAGCTTTTGGAGCGCCTCAATTGCATACGACGTACACACGGACACACCGACAGCTACAACACAAGAAAGCGCATATCACAGACACGGCTACAAAATTTGGTGCGACGCGTCGAAAGTATTCAGATGGAAAATCAATTATTGGGCTGCAGATTGCTGAAAGTAAAACCATTACTGACCACCACATCCTTGCCGAATGCAACGCACAACAGCATGCCCGCACTGGAGAGATTAAAGCTACGGGAGCAGCTACTTATGGAGCGACTGCTGCACCCAAAAATCTATCTCGATTTAGAAGTAAAAAATATACGTCCGCTAGGTCGCATTTTCATACAACTCTACACGGAGGCCTGCCCCGAAATGGTGTTGGAATTTGCACGCGCGTGCTCGGAAAATCGCTTGCAAGCGATAAACTTTATACGCATTTTTCCAGGCCTCTGGATCGAGGGCGAAATCTCTGTTTACAATCGCACGCTGAGTTCGCCGAATTTCCATTATGACATGGATCTGTTGCGACACGATTCGGGTCGTGGCATTTTCTCATTCGCCAAATGTTACATAGAAAACGGTTTCCCCTATGGGCTATTGAATTTCACAGCCAGTTTCAAGCCATTGCCGGTGCTCAATGGCGAACGTGTCGCTTTCGGTGAATTGGTGTCGGGGCATCGGGTATTGGATTGTCTACCGGATTATGGCACAAAGAATGGCAAGACCAGAAAAGATATTGTTGTTGTGCATAGTGGTTTAAAGACAGACTATGATCTGTGAAAGACGATGGTTATACGTTGTGCTTTGAGTTTTTATCATGATTTTAAGTAAATTCCTCTAAATAAATTAATAATAATAAAAATGGTTATGAAGTTATGGGAAATCAGTTTGTGTGTAAATAAAACAAGAGGTTTATCTGAAACTGGAAGAACTGAACTGAGTTTCCATCCACGCACATGGAAATTCGAAGGACTACTACTACTACGAAGGCTACTCTATCAAGCCGCCCGGGATTTGTTGGAATACCAAATTTAGACAATTCACCATAGATACAGCTTCTCTTCATACTATCAGGCGACTCAAAAGACAACCGAAAGTCGATTTTCTTATCTAAGGTTTTTTCCTGGATTTGACGAACTTAGCAAATATGGTCAATCGTGAATTTTCCAGCTCTGAAGCAAACCCCAATAAGGCTTTATCAGTTGGTTTATGAATAGCTTCAATATTCCAAATAGTAATGTCGATATGTTGTTGTATGTCATAGTGAAGCCCATACTCGAGGCCCACTCGAAAGAAGAAGTACCTTTAATGGACTTGGGCGAGCCTACGACATTGACTATAAATTGTTATCTTTCACACAGCCTATTTTTAGAGCATAATTAACCATATTTTTGCTATTACCAATCAAAATTCTAAAAAAGCGGATTTTCGGCCCACGCTATTGTACATAGGAAACGCGATTCCTCGTGACTGTCTTTCGAGAGCTCAATATGCTTATTACAAGAAAAGGTCGGTGGATACCGCCCTTCACGCATTGGGAAAGTGGTTGGGGCCTTCCTCGACATCTAAGCGGCCTTCAACAATGTCACTCCAGTGGCAATAGTCTAGTATATTCAAATCTGGTGGTTGAAACCAACCTAATGACGGCACTGACTTCGTGAGAGCACTGTCGCGGCGGAGTGGGGGAGCGCTTGCACTCAGAGCAGAGTCAATAGGGGCACTCCGCAAGGTGGTGTTCTCTCTCCCATGCTCTTGATTGCGGTTGTAAACGACCTTCTAGAGGAACTAGGCTCTCGGGAATGTGGAACTTTTGGTTATGGGACTTTTTCTAGACACCCTTTTTGATCTGACTCAAGGTTACCTGAAATCCCAGCATGACGGAACTGATCTTGTTTACCAGAAAGTACAAGATACTCGACTCCCTCGAGTGGAGGTGTTCATCTGTGGCTTTCACACAGGGTCAAGTACTTACACTTGATCGAGTAGAGGAAGCTGTCGTGGAAAAAAGGCGGATCGCCCTAATAGGAATTTGTGGAGTATTAGGAACCACACCTACTGGCGCTTACCGTCATGTTGAACATGGCGCCTGCGGATATTGTAGACAGAATTGTCGCAGTACGAGCTGCAATTAGGCTCATAGAAACCGGGTGGTAACACTTTGGAATTCTGGAGGGCTTTGACTTCGCCCTGAACTCATGGATTACAGCGCTTCCGAAATGGCTCTGAGAAGCTGCTTCTCTACCTACATATATTCCCCAAGAGAGGACTGGGTAGGGCGGGATTACTAGGAGAAGTTTGGTGGAGGTTTTTTCTGCCGAAGACTCTCCACCAAAACTATGTGCAGGCTTCCGGACTTCTGCATCATCAAGGAAGCGGTAGGCTGAATGCTACAGGGTGTGACTGCGTGGCTGATGACCTGGCATAGGAAAGGCACCTTAAAACGTTATCCCCATATAAGGGGCAACTGGGGACGCCTCTGTCCATCTGCGGTACACTATAAAATGGACAAAAGAAATCGATGCTCCATTTGTGACATAAAAATGAAAAGGAGACTTTTTTTGCTGAAGAAAATGTTTTTAAAGGGCACTTCAAAATATTTTTTTGCATCGCAAGACACGAGTGACCCATCGTTGCCCCTTAAAGGTACCAAAAAAGACGTTAACTCTCAAAGGCTACTGATGGGGTTCTGACAGGTCATTGTGCGATTGGAATTCAAGTGGTAAGACCAGGAATTTCAACTGATCCCCTTTGTATCAGCTGTCAAGAGAAAGATGAGGTGGAATCATCTCCACACTTTCTTTCAGACTGTTCAACGTTCGCGAGGCTAAGATGGAAACCTTTTGGCTCGCACTTTTTAACAAACACTGATCTCTCAGGGATCGAAATTTGCCGTTTTTCTGACTAAATTAAAGGTCTCCGTTCAGTTTTTTGGGGGTATCACAAAAGACAATCTCTTAATTGTCCAAGCATGTCCCTGCTTGGGGCAACCACTTTAACCTAATCCAACCTAACCTGTATTTCTTTGAGCTATGAGCTAGTTGGTCACATTAGGTATGGCACTAGCTACTTGCAGGCTCTTACTAAAGGAAATATTTTTTGAAAGAAGTGGGTACGAGGTGTGATCGCAATGAAAGCGGCATTACAAAGAAGCTTACGTGGTCTGAATGGAACATGAGGAGATCAAGGCAGCTTCTCATTCTCAATAGGTGCGATATGTCATTGGCCATTGGCTTAATGCTAAACGTCTCGGCTTCAGCCACAATAACTACTGCAGGAGCTGCTACGACAGAGAAGAGCCTGAATCAATCAGGAACTTACTCTGTGATTGCCCTGAACTATGCAAGAAAAGACAGAAATTCCTGGGTATAGGCTTTTTATATGATCTTAGTATAACGGCAAAGTTTTGAACTCGGAAGTTGCTAAGATATACAGACTCCAAAAACTGCACTAACGAGTAGAGGTTTTGGATCTATTGTATCACGATGGGCCCCTGACTAAGCCTAGGTGTACGGACTTCCTCTAAGTTTATCAGCCACTTGACCTAATTACTTACTTAATTAATAAATATTATTTTCTAACGTACATATGTACATAAGTACGTGCATATGTACCTTCAACACATGTAATATTTCACTACTTATTTCTTGTTTCTCTTCCTCTTTTTCTTCTTCCCTTTCCAGCTGCCACCATAATGACACTACGCGGCTCCAGCTATGTCTCCTATCGCATCTATGACTGGAAGGATCGCGTACATTCCTCCAATACTCGCATTAGTCTCATGTTTCGCACACAATTCGACGATTCAGCACTCTTCTATGCGAGCGGTGAATCACTCAAGCATCAGTACATTGCTGCTTCGATAAAAAATCAATCAATTCATGTGGAAATGGATTTTGGCGATAACGTTATGTCGACAGTGCTCACCGATGAGTTGACGCGCAGTAATTGGCATAATTTAACCATTCACCATGAACGACGCACCGTGCGCATCATACTTGATCAGCAAATGAAAATATTGGAAATACCTGCTACGTCGAGCGGCAATTTGCTATTCGATCCGGAAATTTATTTCGGTGGCGGTCCGGATTTGCACAAAAAGAAGGGCTTACATTCGCAGAATAATTTCGTTGGCAGTCTTAAATATGTCTACTATAATGATGTGTCGATTTTATATGAATTGCATAAAAGTAATCCGAAGGTACACTATCACGGTAAGTAAAGTATGTGCGAGTCAATTTTTTGAGGTAGTGCACATGTGAGCGAAAACTTCATATGGACATAAATACATATGTATGTATGTATATGTATATATTTGTTTAAAATGATCCGAATAAGTACACTCGCGTGTGAAATAAATGCTGCTATTAATGTAAATAAGAAGAATACTTTATTTACGACTGAATCTTTCTAAGCTCCTAAAACCTCGCTTCTTAGAAAAATTCAAATCTAAAATCCAAAGTACCTTTCCGTGCATCCGAGCCCAAGTAGAGCTTTCGATATATTTCCGGAACCTCTCTGGAATTCGCTGACATACTGTCGATTTTCATTTTGTTAAATTTCGATTTGTTCAAAAATTTTCGGAATTTTTTCAAAATTTTGTATGTATCCTACATACCTTTTGATGACATTTCTCATTTTTTCCGAGATTTCCTTCGGTTTTTTTTTCGGGGTTTTAGATACCACTTCGCGATCCGGTTATTTCGACATTTTTTTTTTTTATTTCGATATTACATAGAAACTTCATAGAAGATTTCTAAATTTAATTCTGACTTATTTGAGATTTTTTACAATTTTTCGTTATTATTGATGCGATGAGATTTCTTTCAGAAATTATCGGAGTTTTTTTTACGATTTTTTTTTTTTGTATTATTTGGCGATTCCCCTAGACTTCTTAGAAAAATTTCAGGTTTATTTAGATTTTGTTTGCTTTGCGTGTTTTTCGAAATTTTAAAGCAACTATTGTGGTTCTTTTGCAATTTAGTCATAATGTTTTTTTTTTAGAAATTTTCGAGGTGTTTCGACATTTTTTATGACTTCGCAATTTTTCAAATTTTTTTTGCAGCTTTTTGGGGGATTTTTTAGGTACGTTTTCGTGAGCTTTATTTTATTTTAACTTAGTTTGCTTCATTTTTAGGAATGTAGTCATGAATTTTTGAAAAATTTTTGTAATCTTTTTTGGTATTTTTTGTGATGCACGCTTTCCCGTATCTTATTTCGTACACTCTTAATTTTTTTTCACATATTACTGAAAATTTTTGGGTAATTTTTTTGGTTTTCTCCATACCTTTTGGCAAATTTTCGGATGGTTTTTATTTTGTTTTCTTTGCTTTTCGAATTTTGCGGAAGTTCATAGGGACCTTTCGGAGTGTAGTCATGAATTCCGCAGTTTTCCGCCCGATTTAATTTTCGGGACCTCGTTGGGCTTTTTACGGGAACTATTGTTGTTTGTTTTGTTTTGAGAGTTATTAATGACCTTTTCGAAATTTTTCGGGATCATCTTAAATGTGTTTATTAATTTTTTATGACCTTTAACAAATTAATATACTCGAAATTTCATCGGAAATTTTCTAAAGCTTATTTCTCTAATAGTTCGGTAGTTTTTAGTTTTTGATCCTTTGAAAACATTGATTTCGTGATTTTAAAAGAATTTCGTACGAGCCCTTTGGAACTTAGTCATCGAAACCTAATTTGGAGATTCTTCTGGGATTTCCACAATTGTTTTTGGTTTTTTTTTTGAAAGTGGGGAAGTTTTTTAATTTTATTTGGGTGTTTTTTCGAGTATTTCGGAATTTTATAGGAACACTTTGAATCCTTCTAGAGTTTATTTGTGACCTTTTCGAGATTATATGGAATTTTTGCAGGGTTGGTTTGGAGATGCTTTGAGCTTTTTGTGAGCTTTCACAATTTTTCCCCCGAATTTCTTTCAGAAAATTTTGTTAGTTTTTCTCTTGAAATTTTGTGTGACTTCCTCGGCAGTTTTTTGGGAACTTTCTGGTTTATTTTATTTTTTTGCTTAGTTTTGACATTTTTCGGAAATTCAAAGAAATTTTTGGGACTCTGTGAAATTTAGATATGACTTTTTAAAGATTTTTGGGGAAGTAGAGGAAATTTATCGGAATTCTTTTATCAGTGTTGTGAGTTTTTCGGCTGTTTTTGCAAAATGTCTCGGGATTCCTTTGAAAAATTGTCTGAATTTTTTCACGAGTAGTTTGAAATTTTGGCAAGACTTCCTCTGGATTTTTTCGGTGGATTTTTTGGAGGCCTTCGGAAATTAGTCATGCCTTTATCGAGGTTTTCGCTAGTTTTCGGATGTTGTTAATTTTTGATAACTTTTTTTTCGGAATTTCTTTCTTTCTTTAATTTTCGGAATTTTCTTTACGAATTTTCTAGGCTTTAACGGAGCTTTTAGGATTTGCTTGGCCAGTTTTCGGGAACTTTCAGTTTAATTGTGCTTATTTTTTTTAATTTTGATCTGAGCTTACCAATCACCTAGAGAAATTGCTGCAGAGTTTGTGAGATAAAAATTATTGAGAGACATTTGCAAATTCACACCAATATCAGATAAACGTAACAAAAGCAGATTGCCGTTATTTATTGCATATGAAAGATACGAAATGTGTTACATATTGCATTTAATAATCGCTAACGGAACTTGCAGATCAATCATACAATTTTCTTATTTCGCCCGCTGTTTCCTGTACTGGCACATAAATCAAACTTTAATTGCATATATTGCCGCAATACACATACACATACATATGTAGTATGTACCCGTACATTCGGGTGCATCAACCTCCAGACAAAAAAAAATGGTACTGTTTTTCCATCGGAATTATAAAATTTACTATTTAAGACTCTCCAAAAGATTTCTGAATAATTTTAAGATTTATGTGAACTAGACCCATTTGAAAAAAACATAAGAAAATTTATTTTTTTTTTTTTTTAATAAAATAATGTAGTTTTTAAAACCATTTTTTCCAAAAAAGCAGCACAGATACAGAAAGAGTTTAAGTTTAAATGGTCTGGATAAATTCAAAAAATCATGAGATTTTTTGTGAAATTTTTAAATCGCTCCAGCACACGAAATCTTTAATATTTTCCAAATTTTTCTGGCGGATTTCTTAAATTATAAAAAATTTTATAATTTTGGTGAAAAAATGTTCTTGGTGAGGCACCCTAATGTATACAATGTTATTTTGAAAATTATGTGCTTATCATTCCAATCTACACTTTTTGAAATACATTCGCACATGCGCGTTCGCAACATTTGTGAGTATCTCAATGATTATTGCTATTTCTTTTATCTATCTATCTATTTATATGTATGCAGGTGTCCTCGAAGCCGAATTTCAAGAGAACGAAGTCAACGTCATACCCATAACGTACCCTTTTGCGACATCTCACATTTGGTGGCCCATAAATCACGCCGAAGAATTTAATATTAAATTCGATTTCCGGAGTAGTCGTACAGCAGCAGTGTTGGCATACAGTGATGTGACAACAGCATCCGGAAATGGATATTGGGAGGTAAGTGTCGATGCAGCTACATATGTACTTACTATATCTATATTCGCAAAAGTTAAGCAATTCAACAAAATATGATTTGTAAGGTCGTTTTGAGTGTATGCGCGCGCGTGGTAAGCAAGTGTGTAAGTATATATGTATGAGCGTCCATCTATGCAAATGCATGCGAGTGTATTATGCAGCAACAACATCTACATACCAAACCTAGTTAAAATCAATTTCTTAAATGTTGTATATATGTATGCGCTCATATGTTCCATGCGTCCATATACATAAGTATGTATGAGTGCATATTCATGACCCCGGCTGGCTTCATAAGGCTGTGCGCCTGTAAGTATGTGACAATTCCTGTGCCCAACAGCTTTTGCTTCACAACTTACACTTTGCTGCTGCTGTTGTTGCTGTTTTCGTTGCTGCCCT